TAAGTGCCCCCGAGTTCAATCCCTGGGACCAAAAAAGAGAAAATAAAATAAAACAAACTACTTAGTTTGGACCTTCATCCCAGAGATAACACATATGATTAAACATGAGCATAAAACAGTGCTTCATTTATAAGATAATTTTATGTGTGAATTTTTGCAGTGCACTGAATCCTCAGTAATACTCAGTCCTCAATAATACTTTAAAGCACAGTTGTCCTTCAGGACTTTGTGGATTAGCAAAGGAGTTGTTTACTTTGTGATGAATTTCACCTTTTGAAAAAGACTACTTTCTTTTCATGATAGTATATTTTGTTACCATTTTTCCAAAAATTATTTTATTACTTAAAAGCAATTAATAACCATTTTCAAAAGTACAGTCTCAAGAGCTGGGGCTATAGCTCAGTGGTAGAGCTCTTGCCTAGCACATGTGAGGCATTGGGTTCGATCTTTAGCACCACATAAAAATAAACAAACAAAATAAAGGTATTGTGTCCATCTACTAAAAAAAAAAGTACAGTTTCAAAAGCCCTGAGGCATATTCACAGAACATTACTAAATAGTCTTCAGAAGAGACCTAGATGTGGGTCAGAGAGCCAAATGATGACATCTTGTACCAGTAAGCCAGTTGGGACTCTCTGGACTTTGTCCCTCCCATGTAAAGTTTGGAATTGACCAGCTGGCAACACCTGGCTGCTTTCAGGGAAGTCGCTCCCTGCCCTGGTGTGGTATTCATACCTTGCTCATGTCCTAGGGACCAAGTACCCTGGGAGTCCAAGAGGAATCAGGCCCCCCTCCAGATATCTTCTACATCCTTGGAGTTTGCTCAGCCAGAGTGCGTTCTCCACGCCTGTTTTCTGTATTCTGCCATCAGATATAATGCAGTGTAGCTGAGGCCTTGGAATGAGCCATTCTCACCACATTTCAATCAGATGTTTTGTTTTGTGGTGTAGTGAGTGGATCAACCCAGGGCTTCGTGCCTGCTAAGCAAGTGCTCTACCACTGAGCTGTACCTCCAGCTCCTTAATCAGTTATTTGAAGCATAGTTGTCTTTCAATTTTTTGTGAATTAGCAAACAACTTGTTTACTTTGGGATGAATTTTACATTCTGAAGAAGACCTACATCCTTTTCATGATGGGATATTTTAAGATTTTTTTCAAAATCATATTATTATTTAAAAGTTAGAGGGCTGGGGCTGGGGCTCAGTGGCAGAGCGCTTGCCTAGTATGTGTGAGGCACCACATAAAAATAAATAAATAAAGGCATCGTGTTCATCTGTAACTAAAAAAAAATTTTTTTTTAAGTTAGAGATTAAATATAACTGATAACCTATTTCTGAAAAAGCTTACTGTTATCACCAAGTGGGAAAGTTCTTTGAACCTAGTTTGGAGAAAGACTCTCATGCTGTTAATTTTTTCCTTTCTCTTGTATCCCTAGATCCTACACGGGAATTTGGGTGGGTGGGTCATCGCTTTTAGTAGGGGTTATTGGACTCCAAGGAGCAAGAGAAGGGAAAAGAGGGCAGAGATTGGATGCTGGTGCACTCAATACAAGTTCGGAAATGGAAGGATAGCTGTTTTTCTCTACCATAGCACCTCACTTGGTTTTTTGTGTATGCTTTTGTAAGAGTAATTATGGAGGATTGAGTACATTGACAAAATTCACATATAAAATTATTTTATAAACAAGCAAAGCGCCATTATAATCAATCAGATTATCCTTTGGGCATTAACTGTAATAGGATTTCTTTTATAGATAGCTTTGTGTGTGGTTTGGGTTTGAAAAAAAAAGTTAGCTTACATTTTGTTGATAACATTTAAAATAAATAAAAATACATTCACTTGGAGTATGTGTTCTGGACATAATTTGGAAATATTGTCAGCAGTTAATCTAGTTCTCCTAAATTAATGTTGTTTAATGCTTGTTATTTTATCCAGTGTTTCTGCTTCAGAACTGACATACTGGGTTCTTCATGCACTGGTGTAATTCCTTGGCTTTTTCTAAACTAAAGCATGGTGGAGGAATTGGTTTGGAATGTGTGGGTAAAGTTTTCTCACATATACATATATTTTTAACTTGTCTAAAGCCTAAGATTATCAGAACAAAAGAGGGGGACAGCCTAACAAAGCATTATTCCACATGGCTGTTCTTTAATATCTCCCTACAGAAAGTTTTTGTCATGCCAAACATGGATGATGTTTATATTCCTATAATGCATTCAGCCATGGACCCTCGCTCTACTTCCTGCCTCCTGAAAGACCCACCTGTGGAGGCTGCTGACCAGCTGTGATGGGTGAAGATGAGATGTTCCCAGTATTATGAGACCTAGCTCCAGGTGTGGGGTTCTTGGCTGCCATCTGTGCTGTGGTCCTGGCCTTTACTTGTGCCACAGCTATTGTCTCTTCAAGGACTGCTTATGCCCTCTGCCTGCTGGTGCCCATTCCACTGTGAGGTGTCATTCCCCGCATCCGGTAACAGGTGTCTGGATTGCCTGCTGCAAAGCTTTGATTTGGCAAAGGAGAGCAGAAGAAACATCATGATGGGTCCAGAAGTTAAGTGACTCACATCGTGGCTTTTTAAAAAGTCTACCAGTTTTTGTGGCAGCAAACAAGCACATTCAGAGCAAAGCTGTTCAACTGGAAGGCTTCCCCTTGCCTCCTCAACTTCTCCAAAGCTTTTCCTCAGGCAGCTGATGCACAATGGAACTTTTTCACTGGACACTTTGTACACAATTGCAGCCCTCCACACTCCCAGAATGTCAACATGGTATTGTGTGGAGTGGAATTTTGTGAGCCATTTCATTGTTGGTAAAGAGACAGGCATAGTAACTTTTTATTCCCCATGATTATTGTGCATTTTGGAAGCAAGTAGCCATAGAACACATACACTAATACTTTCAGCTGGGGTGGAGACAGTGAGATTTATGTGAACGTTAGGCAAAGCCATGAGATCAAACCATCCCAAGCCTTTACCAATGAGGTACAATCACCTTGCTTCTAATCCTGATTGTTTTCCTGAGACATGAGCTTATGTGACAAAGTCAAACAGTGCACATAATGACTGTATCTCCCTAGTATAGATGGGGTGGAGCCAGAAAGCCAGAGCCACGGTCTTTCATCTGGCATTTCCTGTGTGCTCCAGAAAGCTTCATTTAGGAATCTGAATGCTTTGTTAACTTAATTGGTCTGGGAGTTTTGTGGGCAGTTCCTTCCTCATGGCCAAACGGAGAACTGCTGTATAATTATTTTTAAGAGTCAAGACCAAACATTTGCTCAACATCAAACACTACGTCTCAAAATAGACATGTGACTTTTCTTTAATGTTGCCAACTTAATTTTGTGCATCTGTGTCATAATGTTTAGTTTACAAGTTTGGGGGCTAATTGTATAATTTGCTTTGAGAAGTAAACTTAATTCAATTTATTGTTTAAAGCTGCATCCAATGTCAATTACCTTGGATAACTTTTAAAACTTACATCTGTGGACAAAGCTAAGAGTGGTTTTGTAAACAGCACCTTGCCTGAACATGACTTTAAAGAAATTAATATATTGAAAAAATATATTTGAACCCTTGATTATTGCACCATTAAAACATTTGACTTAAATTATTTGACCATTCCACCCAGTGTACTGTTCTAATTTCTCATTGTGTAGGCTGATTTACCTGTCAGAGTCCGCATGTCTTTTTCACTGGTCTATTATAACTTTTGTGCAATAACTAAAGGCAAAGGACTAGATGCACTACTATGTAGAGATTACAGGACTGTACCCTATTGCACTTAAAAATAGTATGTGGGGATTTACAATAGCTTGCGTTGTTTCACAAAATAAACATCTCATGTCAATACTAGATAAGCATCTAAGTTATTTCTACTAAATCCTGTTTAGATAAGGACAGAATAAATAATGCTGGGCACTTGGGCTGCTGCCTGGCAATAGTAGCCTTCATTTACTGGATGGTCACTGTACTAGTCATTTTAAGTGTCAGAAGATAAAATTATATAAAAGGATCTAATTGGCTTTTCTTTATAATTGAGGAAGCCTTCGGTTGTACAAAATGATTTTGAGCTTCCTTCTGAAGAAACATAACAGTGGGTTTTTTTTTAAAGGTGGAACAATCTGACTACTTTTTGAAAAGTTAGGAGACTTCTTTTGGTAAACTGGACCGTTTTGGGGAAAAACTGGTCCAGACCTGCTTCCCTAAAGCATCAGTACAATTATGTGGCATCTTTGCGACCTTGTGTGGCTCAATCAATACAATGACCCCCAAAACTTAATCGGAGTCCTCATTCTTCCTCACTTCACATTTTGAGAACCCAATCTCATTTGCCCTTCAACACTAGGCCAAGTGCAAGATCTCAACTGGAGAACTGTGAGGTTGCGTGGTCTTTTAGGTACAACGCATTTCAGTCACCCGAGTTGCTCAGGTTTCTTGGGATAATTAGCTTCCCCAAAATTTTAGGCCCACTGTCGTCAAGGCGCTTGCCTGCTTTTTTTATATCACAGCTACACCTTAGCCAGAAATTAAAACTCAGATCCAGGCCAAAGCCAGTTCCCATCAAATCCTGTTGCTCAAGATCTACATCAGTCTCCCCTCTTGCCATTCCACAGCATGCAACTAAACCCGCACGTCTCACTAATCCCATACTGAGGGCGTGGGACTTAGTGGAGCAACAAAGGTATGCAATTTGGGAGAGGAAAATAACGGGTACACTCACACAAACTAGGCAGTGGGGCCTATAGCTATCTCCGTCATCCCCCAGGACACTGCAGCTGAATCCTCCCTCTAAACTGCCCACCTCCAGCAGCATCGACGCTGATCCTGGGCATGGCCATGTAGCTCGCGGTTAAAAGGGCCGCCAGCGAGAGGCAGGCGGCCCCAGTTATGCGCGAGCACGTCCTCTGGCGCTGCAGCCTGACCCCCGGCGCCACGCGCAGGCGCAGCAGGGGCTCAAAGGCAACGCGTCGCCAATGAGGCAGACACATACACACAGACACCAGCGCTGTTGTCAAATCATTTTATTGAGAAGGTTGGAGATTAAGGAGTGTGGAAGCGCTGAAATTAAGGATTAAATCCGACGTCCTCCGCAAGGACAGACCTGCAAAAGCAACAGCAGTGTGTCAGAGGGAGTGAACCCGCCCGCCCTTCCTCACCCACCGCCGCGACAGCCAGCTCAGACTACAGTTCGCATCACCAGCGTCAGCAGTCTAACACGTGCTTTATTTGGAATGTCATCACTGCTGGCTGAAAGCCTCCCACCCAAGTCCCGGGCCTGCTTTGCCACACAGCAGAAGAGAGCACACCTCACCTTGCTGCCGCCGAAAGGCTGAGAAGCGCCTGTGGCTTTTACTTAAAGGAGCACAACGGAAGTGGTGGGGTGGGCTTTACCGCTATTAACCAATAGAAAAAAAACACACCTCTGACCATGTGCATGTAAAGTTGTCTGATGATTGGCTGTGCTTGCTAGGTCCTCCAGAGTATAGAGTGGTCACACACCAACCATAGAGCTGGGCGTCTAAGCGAGAAGTGTGAGGGTTGTACAGTCCTGGAATTCTTCAAATTTTTTTCCATATCTTGATCGCTGGTTGCAATTAGCGATTCCTTTACTGCATGCAAAAGAAACCTTTACAGACAGGAGACTAAATTGTATGAGACCTTCTTTTCGAGGTCAGCCTAGACAATTTGGCAAGACCCTGTCTCAAAATTAAAAATAAAAATTATGTTTTTCTTAGAAATAATTTTTCCTTTTAATTAGGAAAATTTACCGGTTTTTTTTAATACATATTTTTAGTTGTTGATGGGCCTTTTTTTTTATTCATTTGTTTATATGCAGTGCTTACAACCGAACCCAGTACCTCACACATGCTAGGCAAGCGCTCTGCCACTGACCACAACCCCAGCATAATTTACTTTTTTTTTTTTTTAAACTAATAAAAGCAGTCCAACCTATGAGTCTGTTGAATGAGGGTTCTTATTTTCATTATTTTCTATGTAATCTTTAAACTTAAAAAATTCCTCATTGGTCCAAAGAAGTAGTTGTTTTTACAAGTGTTAAGAACCCTCGAGACGATTATTTATTTTCCTTGTGGTCTAAACTTTTGTCACTGCAATAGTTATTACCTTGTAGTACAGTTTCTACTTGGGGATATATAGATCTTCCACAGATTCTCGAAATGAAGATGTTTTCACTGTCTTGTGCAAAAATGAGATGAAGTATTGATTCAGTGATAGCTGTCTAGTAATTACATTGTCAGAATCTTTGTATACTATGTACTTGATTGGAAGTGTGCGTGCTGTCATTTACTTACACTGATGTGTTAAGATTAAGCTTTAAATACCAAAAGCTGTTGAGGATGCCAAGTATCCAATACTTAGGTTTGGGAGCGCAAAATGGCCATTTTTGAAAAGAAGTTAAACAGTTTTTAGAGAGAGAATTTTGTTTTTTTAATGTTTATTTTTTAGTTTTCGGAGGACACAACATCTCTGTTTGTATGTGGTGCTGAGGATGGAACCTGGGCCTCACGCATGCCAGGCCCTAAGCTTGAGCCACATCCCCAGCCCTGAAAGGTTTTTTGTAAAGTCAGACATACACTTACCATGTGACCCAGTGGTCCCTGGGTGTTTACCCAAGAAAAATGACAGCACTTTCACACAAAATCTCTAAACATAAATGTTCACAGTAACATTATTCATAATCCCCCCAAACAGGGAGGACTAAAATGCCCTTGAAGGGGTACATAGATAGGCAGATTATGGTACACCCATACAACTGACAATAAAAAGCAAGGAACTATACATAGATGCCCAAGCTTGGAGTGTTCTCAGAGGGATTATGCCAAGTAAAGGGAGCCAAACTCAAAAGACCATAGGATTCCATTTATGTGACATTTTGGAAAAGACTACAAGAATTGGGGATAGATCAAGGTTTTCTGGGATTGGTAATGTGTGGAGCATTTGACCAAAGGGATAGCAGGAGGCATTTCTTTTTGGTACTGAGAATTGAACCCAGAGGCATTTTACCACTGAGGCACATGTTCAGTCCATTTTATTACTTTATTTTGAGAGAATGTCTCACTAAGTTGCTGAGGCTTACCTTAAACTTGTGATCCTCCTGTCTCAGCCTTCTGAGTCACTAGGATTCCAGGTAGGTGTGAATGCACCTGGTTTGGAGACGGTTCACGTGTGTGTGTGTGTGTGTGTGTGTGTGTGTTAGTAGGAGGCATTTCTGAGGATGAGAGAACTGTCTGTCCGGCATCTTGATTGTGGTGGTGTTTACATGACTTTATGCCTTTGTCAAAATTCACAGAACTTCATTGTACTGTCATGTGTAACTAATTAAAACAAAAAAATTTCACAGAACTATTTGCTAAAATTTTAAAATTATGTTCCCGTCATTTTTTTTTCATTATTTTAATGAAACAAAATTGGCTGTGTTTGCTAGGTCCTCCAGAGTATAAAGTGGTCACACACCAACCATAGAGCTGGGCAGCTAAGCAAGAAGTATGAGAGTGGTACAGTCCAGGAATTCTTCCAATTTTTTTCTGTATCCTGATCACTGGTTGCAATTAGCGATGCCTTTACAAACAGGAGACTAAATTGTATGAGACCTTCTCTTCCATACCTTCTGGAATTATAATAATTAAAATAATATTATTTACTTTATATAGTTTGTGGCTAGGCTATTTAGCTCATAAAGGTCATGGCTGATTAATATTTCTGTCAAAGATTACATATATCTGATATAAAATGACTATCTACTTGTATCTGATAAAACTTCATCCATCCCTCCCCCCCCCTTTTTTTTTTAGTTGTCGCTGGACCTTTATTTAATTTATTTACTTATTTATATGTAGTGCTGAGACTCGAACCCAGTGCGTCACATGTGGTAGGGCAAGCGCTATACCATTGAGCTGCAACCACAGTCCCATCCTTTATTTTTAACTTTTCTATACTTTGTTTTCAATGTGTCCTTTTATATGAAACACATGGTCAAATCACAGGGTTCAGTCCAATATATGTGTTTAAAATTACATTTAAATTTTTATTGTGAAATATATCTACATAGAAAAAAGTGCATATAAAGTGTATATATGGTTTAAAGAATATTTATAAACATTCTCTACCTACCATATAGTTAAGAAAAATGACATCATTGATAACTTTGAAATGCACTTTTTTGGAGGGACCTTTCTGAATCTATCTCCCTCTGTCACTCAAAGAAAATCACTATTCTGAACTTTGCATTTGTCTTGTTCTTGCTTTTCTTTTATAAACCAGTCTTGGGAGAGACCCACCATCACTTCCCACATTCTATTTGTCCAAAGAACCAACCCTGATATGAATACCAGGGGGCGTGGGGGAGCCCCTCTTGGAAGTTGGCTACTATTTTAGTCAACTTTTGCATCATTGTGACCAAAATACCTGACTAAGCTTAGGAAAGGAAAAGTGGCTCTCCGTTTCAGAGGTCTCAATCTATAGATGGCTGACTCCACTGCTTTGGGCCCAAGGTGAGGTAGGACATCATGGAGAAAGTCCCCAGTGGAGGAAAGCTGCTCAGCTCTTGGGAGTCAAGAACCAGAAAGAGAAAGGGAGAGGGTTAAAGAGGCCCCCAAAGAAGATTCACCCTTCCAGGGCATACCCCTAGTGACTCACTTTGTCCAGCCACACCCCACTGGCCTACAGTTACCACCCAATCAATCCACTCAAACTAGATTAGATTACAGTTGTCACAGTGCACTCATTTTACCTCTGAATATAATAGGACCTTTGGGGAGGACACCTTATATGCAAACCAAAATAGCGACCACATTAAGGCTCATTGCCTAGGACATGGTCTACTTTGCACCTGAAGAGAGTGTATATTCTTTTGTTGTGGGTATGACGTTCTTTGAGTGTCAAGCAGATGAAGGTAGTTGGTGGTGTTATTCACATCTCCAGTAGCTGTGCTTCTCAGTGGAGCAGTTTTGCCACCTAGGGACATTTGGAGACACTTCAGCTTTTCACAACTGGGAAGGGTGCCACTGACACCTATTGGGGAGTGTTGTGGGTTGAATTGTGTCCTCTAAAAAGAAATGTTGAAGCCCTAACCCCCATCACCTGTGAACGTGACCTTATTTAAAAACAGTCTTTACAGATGGGTTCATTAGAATGGTCCCTAGTCCAATATGACTGATATGTCCTTATAAGAATAGGAAAATTTAGCTGGGTACAGTGGTGCTACACTTGTAATCCCAGTGGCTGGAGAGGCTGAGGCAGGAGGATCCTGAGTTCAAAGCCAACCTAGTGTTGGCATCATTGCAGCATACTCCTTACTCCCACCCCCACTTTATGAATACGGTTCTTATTCCCAGGAAATAGAAAGTAGCCTGAGATAAAACCTGCCGGCCTGGAGGCGAGCTGGTGTCTCCCTATTCTCTCATTGACAGACAGGAGACCACTCACCTGCCCCTGAGATGGGGTCATCCTGGTTTCCCTGTTCTTTCCTTGAGAAGATAAGGGGACATGCCAGGTTACCTGTCCCCACTCTGAGAGATAGGAGACTGCCTGTCTCTGCTCCCAAGAAACAAACTTGCCTTCCACAAGATCAGCGGATGCTGGCCCTGTCAGTCAAGCCCAAGCCCGCCCTCGTGCGCAGCTGTGATTCTAGCCTATAAAAGGTGACCTTCAAGGGTGAGTTGCTGCTGCTGTCCCTCTCTCTGCCCACAGCAGCCTTGTCAGGCTCCTGACAATGAACCCTCTTCATATCCCAGGTGTGTGTGATCAGCCCTTATCCCAGGTGTGTGTGTGTGGTCAGTCCTTATCCCAGATGTGTGTGTGGTCAGTCCTTATCCCAGGTGTGTGTGTGTGGTCAGTCCTTATCCCAGGTGTGTGTGTGATCAGTCCTGCGTCACTTTTCTTTCACTTAGCAACTTAGTGAGGCCCTAAGCAACTCAGCAAGGCCTTGTCTCTAAATAAAATATATTTTTTAAAAGGAGTCTGGGGATGTGACTCATTGGTTAAGTGAACCTGAGTTCAATCCCTGGTACCAAAAAAAAAAAAAGGAAAATTTGGTCATGGAGATGCACAAGAGGACAGCCATTTCAGAACAGAGGTGGAGACTGGAGTGACCCTGCCACAAGCTGAGGAACACCTAGGACTAGCTACCAGAAAATGGGAGAGGCAAAGTATTCTCCCTTAAAGGTCTTGGGGGGAGCACGGCCCTGGCACAGCTTTTATTTCAGACTTTTGGCCTCCAGAGCCGTGAAATGAAAAGTTTTTATTGTTTCAAGCATTCAGTTTGCAGCACTTTGATAGGGCAGTCCTAGGAAATGAACAGAGACCAGGGCTGCTGCTGAATGCCACACAGTGCACAGGATAGCCCCCCACCCCCAGCACAGAATTATCTGGTCAATT